GTTTTTGGGGCCCTAAAAATACGGGACCAAATCCAGACCATCCCTTTGAAAATAGTCTCCAAGGCCTCCCGGGGCCCTCAGTACCGTGGGGTCCTTATTCAGGACGTCTATTTTCTATTTTTCGGAAGGCCCTATTGTTAGGGGGGGGGGGGCCCAAGATCAAAGAGGGTCCAACATTAAGATGCTCAGCAAGCCTCTGCTGGCGCAGCAGTTTCCCGACCTTGATCTTGCAGGCAGCTGCGGCTTGCACGTGGGCTGCAAGGGCGCAGCAGAAGCCAAAGCACTCGCAGGAATGACAGGTTGCTGCCGCGCTGCTGGCATAGGAAGGTGCCGTAACGCGCTCTACCTCAGTAATTAATCGTCTCCCCGATCTTCAAACCGCCCCCCAACCACAATGACAGGGAGGATTTGTTTGAGAGGACCTACAAGATTTTTTCTGCGGACTGGAATTGCCACCTAGAGGTTTGGATTCCGCGAGGAGCGCGTCAATTGCGGTAATCCTTGCGATGGGTGAAGCCTGAGTTTGATTTTGAGACGCAAGAATAATCTGATTCATGTTGACAGGTTTTCGTTTGGCCTCGTATGAAACCGCCGGGGTCTGGGAGGCTCAAGCCCTTGCTAATCCTTGCTAACCATTAACTACAGGCAGCGTCCAGTCGCAGGACTTCTACGATTTGCCAAGAGAGATGGCATTCAGTCGTTACTGGGGACAAGAAAGTATCTACAAGAAAGAACCTCTCTTGAACAGTGCGTCTTGCCGAGTTGTTCCTGCACTCCGCCGCGTGCCTTTCACGGCACGTCTTCTTGCACTGCTTCCTTCTGCAAGATCTGCACATATGGCGGTTTCCATAGAGAGGGGGATCACAATATAGAAGCCAAAATACTATAATCCGCATCATAAAGATTCCCAGCAAGCTACCCCTAATTTTGGAACCCCCTCCCCTCATATGACTGGGTGCCCAACATTCCTGGCTTGGGGCTTGCTCTTGCTGTTGATCTGGTCCAGGCCAGTTGCAAATGTTCACCGTGTTAAATGACAATCCTAGAAAGAAATACGCTGCAAGCGACCTCAACGGAGAAGGTCACCAAATTGCCCTTCTCCAGGTTTGCCTCCTGGGGTCCAGGCACACTATGAACCGGCGGCATGCCATGCTGCATGTTTGCTTCTCAACGGAGTGTCTGTCCTCCACTTGATTCTTGTGGAGGAACACATCGCCTGCAAGGGCAATGCTCGCATGCGGGCTCATGGTTTCCAAACATTTGCTTCACTTTGCCACGCCGTGCACTTTTCCAGTGGAGGCATACCTCGCGTATGTGATCTTTTCTGTACAGGGTTGGGCTCTCTGAAGGAGGTGAAGCAGTCATGACCGTACAGCAGGCTGCTTACTCATTAAACCTGGCATGTAAGGAGGCCGTTTTATTCAGTCATGCGCACCCAGTTCCTGTTTGCAGAAAAACTTGCCTTGCTTCGCCTCTAGTGATATATCACGGATCCTCTTTGGAGAGCTGCTCAACTTCACATGCATCAGCACTATGTCTTTCACGAGCTGGTCGGCAAAGAGCATAACAGGCATCAGCTCCAGTCCACGAACGTGGTTCTGACTGCGAGTAAAACAAGTTAAATATGGCAACATGTCCTCGATAGAAGTGCCAATGGTAGAATTGGACTACCAAGGTGGCTGAAGCATGCGGGGCTTTGCCATCTTTGGCGATCCAATTGAAATGGTTAAAGGGGTTTTCCTGTCCCTTCCCAGACAGGTCGAATTTGCCCAATCTGGCGTCTCCATTGTCTCGACTAGCTGCTGACTTGATGCATCTGTCTTGCATTTCTTTGATTAAAGCTCTCCTCAGTCATGGATGGAAGCACGCAGGCGCTCCAATCGCACCTTCGATAGGATCTGAAGGAATCTGATCAGAGAGTTAGGATGCACAGCATGCTCGATCTGCATTCATTCTGCTGGGAGCGCTGCACAAAATCGTCGTCTCCACTATCCTTGAACACACATGAGTAGACTGCCATGGTATTTCGCACTTCTAGATTCAACGTCAAAAATTACTCGCAGCAAGGCACTGCTCAAAATGCCCCTTTCCACGCACAAAGAGATGAACAGCTGGCCTCCCGAAAGTCTGCTTGGCTATCCGACACCAAACCAGCCTGAGCTGAAGCAATCGTTATTCACTACACGGGGCAGCAAGGCACCCAAGATATGGGTAGTTTCCGAGGTTAAGGTCGCATCTTGGTCTCATTAATTATTAGGTGCCGTAATATTGTACATACACGAATGGGGCCCATACCAATATTTTTGAGAACAACCCATATCTCAAGAGCAGACTGATCTTAGCCGACCACAGATCCTGGATCGCTGGTTGAGGCATCATCTGCATGGTAAACGGTCCCAAGAAAGCATGGCTCACTCCTGGGCGCGTGGGGCAATCAATCTAGTAATAGTAATAACGATAGGCTTGTAGAGGAATGGTTCGCAACGGCATGCAGGAATACTGAAAGGACACCAGCCAAGAATCACAATGGTGTTGTTGAACGCATGGATCTCCAAGTGAGTGGAGTCAGCAGGGACTTCGCCCATAGAGTAGTCCCTGAGAAAGTATATGGCCTGGGATGGTCACGAGTAGATTGTAATGGTTTATATATAGGGAGAATGGAAGATAAAACGGGAACTACTTTCATGGGTTATGTAGGGATAATGGAAAAGAACATGGAAACTACTATAATGGGTTATATTATATCAGTTATTGCGGGCCGGCAGCTTGAAGCAACCCAACACGCTAACAAATGGAAGCCGCTTGCCCCCAGGCAGACTATGTGGTGTTGGTCGATTGGCTACCGGGCTGTGCAACAAAAAAATTGTTACATCATATCACACCGCCCTTGTGTGTGCAAGCGGGTTTACGGGCTGCTTAGGAAATCCGGAGTACGAGAACTAAATACTCAAAACAAGCCCGTTGTCGATGGTCGGAACTATGGGCTTTTGTCTTGGGGATTCATACTTGTTGTACACCCTACCACAAAACCGTTAAAACCCCACTGGGCCTGTCTTAGTTAGGACCCAGGAAGCAGGTGAAAGCCCATCTTAGGGCCCATGTTTAGGACCGTGGACGTTGCAAATGATAGGGTGGACCTGACCCTGCAGCTAGGACGCGTTGATGCGCTTGGCGACGGGCTCCGCGTACTCCACGCGGTGTAGCAGAGGTCGATACAACGAATCCAGCGGGCTGGCAACTCGAACCTTCAAACTTGATGCAAAGATGCGCCAAGTTGTGATCGCTTCTATGCTATTTCATGCAATATTGACTGCTGCCGAGAATCTCCGAGAAACAGCAAGAAGCAGATGCCTGCATCGTCTCGCTCTGCCTGGAGGCAGCATCATTGGTGCCAGAGACAGAGACTCTTTTGGTTGCCGCTTGCCTCGGACATGAAATCCTCGCATGGAACGAACTCGTCCAAAGCGTCCTGGGCGAGCAAAGTTGCAAGGAGCAAATAGGAAGTACGAAGGAAGCATGTCTGCTGGGCCCTGTCCAGCTAAGTTTTGGTGGGTCGCGGCCTGATCACAACCGAGCGGGCGAGGTGAGATGCCGCTGAATTGCAACGCTCCCCGTACCTGATACTCTTATCATGGTCTGCCAAAATGCAGGAGATTCGAAGCTTGCCCCAGTGTGTCACTTAGCTGATTGTACTTGGCTCCTTGGTGGAACGATATAGCAGCCTCATACCTTCTAGAGCCGAGACGGGAGGCTGGAAGTAAGATCATGTACGTGCTGGCAGAGCACATTTCCGGCGCCCATAAAGGTGACGAAGGAATTGTCATAGTGGTGGCCTGACCGTCAATTGCAGTACACAGACTGTAACGGCACCCTCAAGTGAAAGAACGCAGCGCAATTCTATTTGTCATCATGTAGGACCGTCCACCTAACTCTTGCCTTGCCTGCAGTGGAGTTGTAGGACACCCTGAGCATTCCACGCGATTGGTGCTGCCCTTTGCCATCAAAGCCTGGCTTCAATTGTCGAAGGAGCCTTGGCGCATTTCTTCATGTCAGGCTGCCATGCTCACGTGCCTTGGGACAAAGCATGGCACACACTAATGCTGTCTCAATCTTCCTGACCACATGTTACGGTACCCTATGTAGTCACAACACAATATAACCCCGGACCAACCAAGATACTCGCAGGTCACAGTCTGGCAGATTGTCTCGCACACTTTGGCCCACTGGGCTGCGAAGTTGTTGAAATCCTCTGGAAGGAGCCTGACTTATAGACATCAACAACTCCCCATAGAGAATGCCAGCAACCAGCACTCAAATCACCGGATCATCGCTTGCAACAAATTACAAGGTCCGAGTAGACCCTGTCCCCACATCCTACCAGGACATAGCCAAAAAGCGCGGCATTGGTTGATGCTTCCTTAGAGCGCTGCCTTGCGAGATCCTTGGTTGAAGATCACATGGCATAGCATGACATGTTCAGGTGAGGGGTCTCCACTGGGTTTGTTTAAGCGAGACTTTCGATATTTGGTGCCCGCCGCCATGGTCGCCCCAGAATCTAGAGCTAGCGCTTCCGAAGGCAGGTGGATCCAAACTGTGTGGGAGAGCTCTGCCCGTGGCTTGCCGTTAAAAAACAAAAAGCCTCGCTACTCCTTTGAAGCTCAGGCGCTCCCTCGGCAACCAATGGTGGGTAGGCACGTGGATCCAGCAAAGCTTCGTAGAGCTGCTCCTCGGCTCAGATTACACCCGCACATGCCATGACGTCCGGTTGCCTACTGTGTTCCATGCGCTAGCGGCTAGAGCATTTTCAGTTTACCTCTTGAGATCTGCAGTGTTGGCCAGGCATCGATCTGCCATGGCAGCTGCAGCACTGCAAACCGCCGCTCTTGGAGCTGAACGCAAACCTATCCAACATCTGCCAACTTCCCTTCTGCATATGCTCATGGAAGCTGCGGAACTTCCACAGTATCCGGACAATGCCTTTCTGAGCCACTCAGGATCATGGGAGGACTCCAGCTCCTTGTGCTCATAGCTGCCTCCACGCAAACCTTAGCAAGAAAAGTCTGAACACTTGTCCGCGATCAAGCCCCAAAGGTTGGCCCCGCACTGTAAATACATTGCAGCAAAGGTTCGTTCCGGATCCACGTGAATGCGCCCAGCAGCAGGAATTGCAAAGCACATGGTTCATTCTGGGGGGCCCCCGGTCAGTGAGAATAACGCAGCGTGTCCCGGAGTTACCGTGCGAGAGACAGCTTGCATTCTGGAGATCACCCGTTCCAGAATTTTGAAACAACCCGAAAAAGGGCCTGACAATCATCCCTATATGTGTCTTGGGCACCCTGTTTGGTCGTTCCCATAAATAGGGGCGGACCCAAATATAGACCCCAATATACTACAATTCTTATTGCAGGGACCCCCAAAAAATAGTGCCCTTAATTGTAGGAAACCCTAACCCCTGTATAACCCGTATTATCCTTTTCTAATTTTGGGAAACCCTCATGTTGAGAAAGACTCTCCTTGGCATTCCAGAGCCGAAGCTGCATTGAGGACCCGAATGTTGGGCTCTGCCGGTCAGTGTTTGCGTTCACTCAAGGCTGCCAATGTAGTAACTAACCATGAGCAGGAAGTGCGAGTAAAGTTTCCACAAATCCCGGGTCTTATTCGGATGTTCCACAAGAATGATTTGGCAGTTTCCCAAAAATGGGGGGACCCCAGTATAGATCCCAAAATGCTATAATCCTTCTTATGGGACCCCCTCAAAAAGGTACACTTGATTTTGGGAAGCTTTACACCACTGTATCCCCAGTTTCTATGTCATTTTCCATTTCATTTTTCCATTTGATTCTCCATTATTGGGTATTATATACCCTAATTTTGGGACACCCTATACCTTATGCAGCCCCTATATATCCCCTATTATCCCCTTTAAAGTACCCCAAATTTTGGGAAACCCCCCCAAGCCCATGTTTAGGAAAAGTCTCACATTCTGAGAGCTCTGAGTCGGAAGCCCCGGAAGATGCTTCTGGTCTCTTCGCAAGCCTCAGGATGCTGGAACGCTCAGAGTTGTCAAGCCATGTTGCCTTGTTTAGGGTTTATAGGGTTTAGGGTTTAGGGTTTTAGGGATTAGACCTGGGGATAATGTAGGGGCTATATGGGGGTTTTTTAGGGATAATGGAAAAGAAAATGGAAACTACTATACAGTAACCCAGACCCCTGATTAACAACCCCCCTCCCCTTAATAGGGCTTATAATAGGGATCCTCATATTGAGGCCCTTGAAACCCCCTCCCCTTAATTGGGATGATCGTAGGGATCCTCATCTTAAGGCCCTTCAAAGAAGGGTTTACGAATCATGGGTCTACATTAATTAGGGTTTAGGACTTGAGGCAAAGGAGGCCAGGCCAATAAAATACCTGGGGAATCCAAGTTTCAGTGCGACTTGCCCCTAAACCCTAAATTGTAGTTTCCATGTTCTTTTCCATTATCCCTATAGTATCTACTTTACTGGGGACTACACGGTTCTGGATTGCAGGCAAGGAACGATGAAACCGAAGCCTTTCGCTGGCCAGTACTCCTTCACGCGTCCCACCTTGACTGGGTTGCTGTTAACGAACTCAATTTAAGTTACTATATTGGGGAAACCCAATTATTTACTACATATACCCATGATGGTAACTTAATTTAAGTTCCTTAACAGCAACCCAGTTGAAGGCATCAACATCTGCATCCCGCAGCTGTTCTGCTGGCCTACCACTGAGTCGACAGCATACGTCTTGCTGCCGTCCACCCAGGACCTGCTTGGCATGTGAATCCCTGAAGGACCTGAAGCCTTCCCTTCGGCATTTTGCAAGCTGCATGTGGTCAAGTGTATCTAGATTTCTTCAATGAGCGATTCAGAAAAACTGTTTAGAACTGTTAAGCCCTTGCAGCCTCTCTTCAAAGTCTTGCTTGCGCCTTTCGAAATCCCTTGTCACCAGTTCACGTCTTCATCAACAGAGCTCGTGTAAAGATTTTTTTTACGCGCAACAAGTTGCCGCATGGATCTACTCTCCTCTAAGCCAACGCTGTGGAATACGCCGCGCCATGCTGGAATACGTTCGTTTCAAGACTCAAGGCAGGGGCCCGTTGTCTCCAGAATCGCCCACGTATCTAGCAACCTCAGCAACAGACCAACTAGCGCAAAGGCTGAGTCACTCTGCGCCAGGATTTGCCGTAAGAAATTGATTGCATACTGCTGGCACAAACCATCGCTGCAAGCTAAGGAGAGTACATTCCTCGCCTGCGGCTTCTTCACCTGTCATCTGCATGTTTGCTGAACGCTTTAGGCGCTGAGGTTCAAAAAATTGTCCGCCATCTTGCTTGTCCCTCACGTGGACTCCTCTACCTGCCTTGTTCATGCCCACGAGGAAGCGGACTTTGTCGCCTGAAAGGTCAGATCTCAAGATCCGGCTTACACATCGAAAAGCAAGCTATCAAAGCTTAATTGTTCAACCATTGGCTCTCGGTCATATGAGTAGTATATAGGGTATATATTGGGGTTATATAGGGTTAATGGAAAACAAAATGCAAACTACTATAATGGGTCATATTAATGGGGATACATTAAAGTTGGAGAGCATCCATGCGACAAACGCAGGGCCCCAGCCTGGAAATGCTTTCTTCCTGAGATCAGGAGGGGGTTGGGTTTGAAGGAATTTTAGGGTTTAGGCGGTTTAGGGTTAAACAAGCGATGTGGTTGGCTGATTGGGCCGAGTCTACAGCCCCACACCTGCCAAGAAAGTTTATTACCGCATGCTCTGACAACGCAAGCGCAAGCATGATGAGCTGCTGACCCCAAGTGCTGGTCCACCTGGCATCCAGAGATCACCATATATCATGATTCTATATTGAGATATACCGAGGCGATGTATTGATCAGAAGGGGGTGCGGGGGGCTTGCCGTCAAATCTGCCCCAACCCAAGGCAAAGTGTGTGTGTGTTGCACAGCGCCTGGTTCTTGTGCAGAAAAACGTCGGCCTGGCTTTTGTGACACGTTTTGTGTAACTGCCATGTAGTCATGGTATGAGTTACAAACTCGAGTTAGTTCGGGGGGCCCGCAGGGGGATATATCGGGGATTAAGGGGGGACCAGATCAAAATGCATCCTCGACTACACGTGACCTGGTACTTCTCAAAGAGTTCCGGGCAGTCAATGAAGCCGAAACCTGCCAAATTCACTGTAGATTCAATCAATATGGTGATTTAACCGCCTCAAGATACTAAGAGTACTAGTAATAGCAATAATACTACTAATACTTAGTATTCATAACGATAATGCTAAGAATGGGCATCTGACTGACAGGTCATGAACCGGAAGCTGTAGAAGCGAGTGCCTTGCTCCGGAAAGTAGGACTTGACTGTTCCGACCTCAACAGGCCGACGCGCTATGCCAGCTGCACATGGCATGGCGCTTGAACTTTATATTATGGGGGTTTCCCAAAATTAGGGGTACCTTTTGGGGGGGTCCCTACACTAAGGATTATAATATATAATTGGCGTCTATATTGGGGTCCACCTATGGGGAAAATACCAATATCCTGCTCACCCCTCCAAGGCAGATGTGTAGTGCTTGCGCCGTCCAGGTGCCAAACGTACCAGTCTTGACTGACATTGTCCTCTTGCAAACGCTCCCAGGAATGTGGCGACTTCCATAAGTGGGCTAGTACATGTTAGTACTGAAAATGAGATGCAATCACCGCAAGGAGACTTTCGCTTACATCGTGCGGCAGCATTGCCCCAGAGCTAGAAGACAACTCATGGCCAATCCGCGTGTCCTGCTCGCCAGCGCCACTCTTTCGTGGACTTCTCGGAGCCTGGGGCAGGGCTGCCTAACCCAAGTTTTATGGTAGCTCGGCGCACCCTTTCTGCTCGCGCTGCGCTGAAGTTGAGGGGGTTGGAACAACCTTGCCTGAGACGCGCTGCTTGTGAAGCGCTCAAAGGTTGAGCCTGAGTTGGTGGAGCACTGGGTGTGGTCGACTTGCGCGGGAAATCCACGCTGCCACCAATTTCAAGTAATAGCCCCTGTTCAACTGACAAACAACTTCCAGCACCTAGGCAAACAGCTGCAGTGTGCATGGTCATCATTTTGGGGCTTCTCAAGCTGCTCCTACTCAGAGAAGTTGGCCAAAGCGCACAATCACCTCATGCGAGAGGGGCAGCAGTTATGCACCCAGCCATCATCGCCAACCAGCGCCGCATGTAGAGCAGTAGCCTGCCATCACACGAACTTGTGCACTGACGACTTCACCCTTGACTTGAAATCCGGGAGAGCTTCTGCTTTGGACTCTTCAACGGCCACAGGCTCTTGGTGAGGCAGCGAGTCAGGCCATCGGTAGCAAGTTCTACCCATGGCCAAGATTGCCATGCAGCAGTTCTATCAGCATCTGAAAGAACAAGAGGAGCAAAGCCAGAGAGAGATAGAGGGGAAAGAAGAGAGAGAGAGAGAGACAGACAGAGACGCGCACACCAAACAGACACATAACAGCGTAGCACGTTTCACCAGTCCACGTGCCTTCGGCGATCGCCGCGGCTGGAAAGCCGTGAAGGCGCTACCTCTCAGTGACCAGCGAAAAGTGCAAGGTTGAATTGCCTACGGAATCCGAAGCCCGAGCAGCTTTACCGTCTTCATGTACATGTTTCCCCGACGCATCTCGAACAGCCTGTAAGCTGCAGCAGCAGCCAGGCAAACAGAACTCCAGCAAGCCGCAGCACCTGGCGCACTCGGCACTACATCTTTCCACCATCAGGCGATGACCCGTTGAGTCAAGCCTTCCCTCGCTGAAGATGCATCCCCATGGCAATGTTGACAAAACAGCTGCTCGAAGAGTCACATGTGCTCGCATCACGTTCACGGGATTCGCCTCTACTTGTTGGCAGAAGCTAAGCTGCAAAAGAGTCAGAAGGGCATTGGAACACGGATCCGGAGTTAATTTGTAACTGTCTTTTGACATGTTGACCTTGCAACATTCTAGGGCTAGGAGCCAGGAGCGCCAAGTTGCCCGACAGCATGTTGCTCATCCCAGGATTTCCATCTGCTAAGTCCGCTTACCTCAAACGTGACATCTCCAGCAGACCAAGGACATCACATGCAACGCTCGAACTCTCAGCTGGCACACTTGGCAGCCTTCCGCCGGTAAATGCCAAGA